CCCTGGAGGAGGTCTGTGCCCCTCCCCCCCATTAGCCATGAGGTCTTTCTTTTTCTCACACAAGCTGGGAAAAGGGGTTGTATCCCCCCGTGCATCCGTGAGGTCCCTCTGTTCCTCCCCCCAGACTCTGGCACAGAGTCTGTGCCCTCCTCTCCCTGTTATTTATGAGGTCCCTTCTACCCTAGGCTATAGGGGGAGGGTTTCTCCTTACCCCCCACCTTTATCCATGAGGTCCCTTTTCTTTTCCTCTTCCTAGGGGGTGGGGGAGGCTCCCCCAATTATTTGTGGAGCTCCTGCCCCAGTCCTAGGGGCAGGGCTATTTGGCACCCCCTTTTCCAAGGGGTCCCTTTTCCCTGTGGGATCCTCACAAGCCAAGTGTTGCAGGAAGGAGCTGTATGTGTCCCCCCAAATATCTGAGGTCCTTTTCCCTCTGCATGCCTAGGCAGGCTGCTCCATGGAGCACAGGGAAACCTGAGCTGCTTCTCTGCGCGAGGCGGAGCAGCTGCCAGCCCTCCATGACTGCGAAATGCCTTGATCCAAGCCAGGCCTTGCAGTCTTTGCTGCTGCTCTGAACTTGTTTTGGAGCCAGGAGCCTTGCAGCATCAGGGCTCTTGTCCTGCCTTCTAGCTGGAGCCTCGAGTGTCCTGCTCCACCTCCTGCATCCCAGACAGGAATGATCCTTCCATCCCGCCTCTGCTTTTTCAGCTTCCTTTTTCAGCACCTGGGCTCCATTCCCTCTGCATTTTGCTCCCCATATGTTGCCATTGCCACCCGCTGCAGCTCCAGCCGTTCCTGTAGTCCCTCCTGCTTTTACGCTTTTTTCTCTTTAATTTTTGGCGTGTGTTTCCGTGACAGCTCATTGAGGAAGTTCCGGTTCCCAAGTGGTGTTTGGGGAATGAATGGGCAGAGCTGTCTTCTTGCAGCCTTGAAGAAGTGCAGAGGGAGCTTGGAGTTGCTGTGGTCTCATATCCCCCCAGTTCCCTCCCAGCATCCAGCAAAATCAATGCAGTTTTGCCCTTTCATGCCTAGATCATAGCTAAATGTTTTAGCATCGACCGCAACCTCATGTCTGAAGGTGGCTGTGCTCGTTTGGGAGAGGAAAACCCTTTGTTTGGCCAGGTAGCTGTAATTCCTTCCTCTCCTTTTCCAGGTGTGCGCTCATTCCTCTTTCTCACTTTGCAGATAGGGTTTTTTTCTTCTTCGCCCGAGCTCTTCTGTTGCATCTCAGCTGCTCTTCTATTTTTCCATTTGTGAAGGTGACTTCTTTCCTATCCTCCCCTTCCACTGCATCCTGTGTCCTTGGTTGTCTCTTCGTTAACAGCACTGGGACAAAGTGCTAGGCCTTTAAAATGATCAGGTTTGGGTGCTATTTTCCCAGGAACAGGCTGGGAAGCGCTTCCCTAGACAGCACAGGCAGTGTGGATGTCTCGGGGCGAGAGCGGCTCATCCCAAGCGGAGAGGAACAGGCTGGTGCCAGCAAAAACCTTCTTGCTTCCCTCTTTAGTACATCCCGTGGCATCCCCTGGGTGCCGTCACTCCTTTTTTGGGGTTTCCATGTGCTCCTGTTTGTTTCTGGCTGCTGCTGGGATGAGAATTCAGGAGCTTCTGGTGGGGAGGGCAGTGCGGTGTGTGTGATATCAAAGAGGTACTAAATATAACTAAATATATAGCTAAATATAACTAAATAAATCACCGTTTTGGCTGTGTTTATGTCAGCTACACCACGTAAACAAATGTGCAAAATGGAAGATTGGGGCAGAGCTTCCAGCAGCGAGACACTGTCAGTCTCATTGCTTTTTGGAGTCCACAGCAGGAGGTGGTTTAAGTTAGGCTGAATTGTTAAATTATTCCCTGGAGAGCTGCTTTCAAACCATGGCAGTTTGACTGTCTCTGTCTCATTGGGATCGGACTGGTCAATCTGACACAGCTGAAAATCTCAATCTACTTCTCATGTAAGAAGTTGTGTAAGAGCTGAAACGATTTATTTGGTGCCTTTAGGTGGCTGCAGCAAATATTTGTGTAATGAGACTGCAGAAAGAACTAGATTTATAGGTGCCTCTACTGAGGACAAATTTAACCCTCTTGGACAGAAGAGAAAGAACGGCTGCTATGAAACTAATAAATGGAATTGACTTAACTTTGTTTTTTTTGGCTGCAGACTTACAATAATGTATGGTGGTATGGTGTGCCTGGTACTTAGTGACTTCTTAAAAAGCAGCCAGATTTAAGGGGATAATGCAGTCAAATAAATCCTAAGATTACTTCGGATTTACAGAGTTACAATAGAAACAGTTTCATAGCCTATTTTTAACTTTTTTTTTTTTTTTTTTTTTGCGTTTCCCTGCAGCGCTGTAAATCAGGCATAGGTTTGTTCTGGCTGAAATCTCCAGGAAGTGATGACGAGCAAGAACCGAAGGCCGAGCTTTTGAGCTACAGATATGATTAAAAATTGTTCTCTCGGATCTTCTGTAAGCTCCCAGAGGGCATTAAAGAGAAGCCCAAATGCTCACAGCCATTCAATATTTGTCACTGAGCAGTGTTAATAATAGCATTTGCCTTTGTGATGCAAAATGCTTCTCTAGGTCAATTCATGGCCGATGGGGAGTAGATTTGTGCACTGGGAAAATGGGTGGCACTCAGGCCTGGTATTTGATTTGCAGCTCAAATCTCTTACCAGGCTGTTTCCACCAGCTTTAGCACTTCATTTCTGTCTCTTATAAGTAAACTCTTGTATAGATTGCTGATTTCTAGGAGAAATACCTGCCATTGTGTGAGTTTGTAATTTGACATTGCAGCTGTTGCTTATTCTGAAAACTGTATTTACAGTTGGTGCTTAGTTTTCTCAATCCAGGGGCTCCAGAACTTACTCTTGCACCTTCCGAAAGCACCTGGGAGTAAGTTAAATGGTTCATATGGCAGCTTGGGACAACCTGTAAGTGGTTCTGCATCCTGGTGGATAGATCCTGTCAGAGGTTTTTGTTCCAGAGTTTGTTTTATTACTCATTATTTAAGAATAATGGGAACTGGGTGTCTGTGGTGCTGGCTGATAAGGGCAGTAGTTCTGGAGAGTTAACCTGCTCAAGGTATTCTGTATTTTGGGGGAAGCTGCTGCATCTATAGAGCTTGAAGCTTTTTCTAACTCTCTGTTCTTTCTTAATGCTCTCATAGGAACTAAAAAAGTAAGTACCCTCTAGTTGTCCTCTGCTTTTTGCTCTTTCTGGAAAATGAGGTGGAATTGTAGGCGTTAAAGCTGTTATTGGCCTTATAAACAGATCATTGCACATTTTTTTTCTGATATCTGCTAGACATAAATATTACAGGTTTATTTAATGTATTAGCTGTCTATCACTGTGGTTCAAAACAGTCCTTGGGTTTAACTGAGAATCTCTAAAACAAACCTTGCAATCTAGAGGGTCCTCAGCAGTGCAACCCTGCCCTAGAAATTAGTGATTTTACTGCAACTTCAGTGCCTCAAGTCAGTGATTTCTTTTTTAGGGCAAAATTGGTCCATTTTTGTCAAGTGGATGTGCCTTTTCTACAGGTTACTCTAATGGTGGCAGTGCAAATTAAATATTTGAGGGTGCTATAATTTGAACAATATCAAGTAATGTCTGAATTTCTTGTCAGACCGATTACAGATAATGTTCCTTTCTGGAAACTCCTTTTAGATTAATATACTAGATCTAGGTGAACCTTATTTTAAACATGTGCTTTGCAACAGCACCATTTGGAACAGCATTTTCTGCAATTTTCATATCTAATTTGCAGCATTTGATCCTTCCCCACTCCTCCAAATTAGTGACATGCAGATACTGCTCGGGCAAATGTCTCCTCTTAACCTTAGCAGTAGAGAATCCTGTTTAAATAGGTGTATATTCAAAGATTCTTTTCAAAAAGATGGCATTTTTAGGTAAAATTATAAGATATGTATCTGAGGTATTTGCCCAGTAACTGAGACTGTTAGTTTTTAAGTCAGCTCCCTCTGCTGGCTTCCTGATAGCAAAACACAAATCCATGTGAGCAATGACCTCTAAACATAGTCATGAGTCAGGGCATCTTTTTTTTTAGCTTTTTTTTCCCCCAAATCAGTGCCTAGTTGAGAGGGCTGAACTGATATTTTGGGACTAATCCACTAACATGAAAAATATCTTCTGTGTACCAGGGCTTTGAGCAAAACCTTAGTGATCTTGTCCTAATAGATTCTTACAAAATGAAATTTAAAATGCCTTTAGTGCTAAAGGGTGTTATTTTTTAAATATTAAAAGGTCTTTTTAAATGGTGATATGTAGTAATTTAGAAAGTATTTGTTAGAACAGAGATGTTTTAGGAGGAAGTTGATTTTGACTTCAGAAGCCAGATGTGTTTTCAGACTGTTTAATTTCCCTTGAGTTAAAATTTATAGTGAAAACATAGAAATGTAGAAATTGAATTAAATGCCTAGGTTCTTTAATGTAAATAACGGCACGATGGCTTGGGATACCTTTGTTATTAAGAGATCAATGAAGTCTGCTGCATGCCCTTGCTTTATTTAGTTTTCTTGCAACTACATCTGTTGTGCTTATCTCTTAATGCTGCCACTTGTTGGAAGATGAGGACGAGGAAGCCTCCGTGCCCGGTAGAGAAAGTGTGGGTAGACAAGCACAAGTACGATGAAGCCGAGAGGCTCCACTATGAGCGAGAGGCCTTGCTGGCTGCCGCAGCCCCAGAGGAAACCCAGGAGGTGGAGGCTGTGAACGGCGTCTGCAACGATGACTCTGCTGAAAGTGAGTGCCCGAAAAGAGGCAGGAATGGGAAGAAGCAGAAGAAAAGGAAGCGCTCTCCAAAACCCAAAAATGTGCTCTCCAAGGTAGACTCTGTTCTCTCGGGCTTGTTAGCCGATCACGTGTGGTTTGACAAGCCTTTCTATGACCACGCGGAGAATGTGTACAGGAAAAACATAGTGGATTGGCAGAACCAAGAGGCCCTTGAGACTCAACCACCTCCTGAGCAGGCTGCTTCAGTAGCCAGCTCGGAAGTTGCCCAAGATGTTTCGAAGCCGAGGATGTTCTCTGCAGCCCTGTCCTGCTCCCATGGTACTCTGTCTGCATGTCACCATATTGTTCAGGGCGTCTGGGTCAACAAGCTTGACTTTGATAAGGCCGAGAAGACATTCATCGAAAAATCCCAGTTCTTTGCTCCTCCGCACGTCCTGACCCTTCCATCCGTGTGGAATGGAGGTAGTGTTGGACTGAGGACGCCGGATGAGGGTTATGTTACAGCCTTGCCTACTCCTGCCACGCCAGGCTTAGCTCCGGATGCCGTAGCCCATCCCGACGCTCCCTTCCTTACCGATGTGCGCCAGACGGTGAACGGCAAGCCACAGATTTCAAGCTTGCAGGCCCTCATGTCGGAGGTGTGGCTGGAGAAACCTCTCTACGATGATGCTGAGAAGAGCTTCTATGAGAACATGTTTGATGGGCACCCGCCGGGCAAAGCCAGGCAGCAGAACCGTGGCTGCCCTGAAGCCTTGAAGAGGGAGCAAGAGGACGGGAAGGCTCGGAGAACCGGGAGGCAAATGGACATCAAGCATGAGGAGATCCCCTGCTCTCTGCTTCCTGGTGATGCTGCTCACCCTCCATCCACTTACTACTTCCTACATGAGGACAGTGAACCTGTGTGGCTTAACAAGTTGACATATGACAGTGCTGAAGCTCGATACTATTCTTTGGAAGCTCAGAAAATGTCCAGAATAGGAGAGAACATAATGGTGCCGGAATCTGCAGTAGCAAAACCTCGACCAGCTTCTCGTGCTTCAAGCATGCCTGCTCCGGGAACTAAGTAGGAGAAGTTTAATGTGGGGTAACACACATGCAAAACTACTGGGCCAGACTCGAGCTGAAAGGATTTGCGTGTGTAAAGTCAGGTGTCCTTGATGGTCAGGGAGAGGGTGCTCTTGAGCCAACAAGCCTGTTTGTGGGCAGGGTAACTAGGGGGAAATTCCTGCAAGGAGATTCCCCCTTTCACCTGGTGAATGCTCATGGTTAAAACATCCCAATGAAAAAGGAGAGGGTTGCTTGTCATGTGTCACCAGAGAGGTTAAATCTTTAAAGTAAGAGCTGAAAGCTGAGCTAGGGTTTGGCCCTCTAGACATGGGGCCTCCAGGGCAAAGCCCTTTAGATACAAGGTGAAGAGCTGGAGGACACAATGATGCAGTTCAAACAGGCCTACTAGGATGACCAAAGAGGCAGTGTTTCATCTTTGAGCACTCAGCATAGTGCTTTTCTGCTCTGTATTCCTACTACAAGTTCCACAGTGTTCCTTGGAGAAGGAGCTATCCCCATTTTTTTCAGGAGAACTCAGTGCCCAGCAAGCTGGCTGGTAAAATCCATGCACGAGGCAAATATTTGTGTTGTTGCTGGTCCCCAGCTTGCTGGAGAACCTGGGGTCTGTGGATAAAGGTAGTCTAGTAACAGCTGGTACTTTATTTGCTTTTGGATGGGGCAAGGTCACCTTGTTAACCTATTAAACCCTTCTGGAAGCTGCTGTTAAATTGGTGAGGTGATAGAAAGACTGTCAGGCTTACTGCTAATTAGCTAGGCATTTATCAAGGCTGGGTAGAAGAATGAACTTGAAAATTATAGATGAGCTTTGTAGATGTAACATATAAATCAGACTAGTGCTTGTTTAAGGACAGACACATCTCAAGGATTCTCTCTTGATCACATTGCACATTTCCAAAGGCCCAAGTGCTCTCTCTGCTGGGCATGGTCTTTTATACACCACTGGATAATGTATATATTTCAATTACACTGAAAAAAAAGAGGCTCTTGAAGGATGAGCTCTCATTTCTGACACTATTGGTCCTTAAATTTGTTAAGATTTGTTGGAATAGGTGATGTCGAATTATGTAGTTTGGGGTAGGGTTGCAGTCAAGCTTTAATGCGCGCATGCTTTTTGTTGTGTGCTAGTTGGAGTAATTTTTCCTTTAACTTGCCCTTTAATGTGTTCATGGTTTTGACCTTTCCCTAGAAAATTCCATGTGTTGTTACAAAATATATCGGACTTCTGCTCTGGAGTTGTCCTTTGGTTTAAAATATTGGGCACGTCCTCTTCAACTGTTGCAGTGGCCCCATCATTCGCCTTCTAGTAGTGAAATTAAATGACCTTTGGAAGCTTCTGCACTGAAAGAAAAAGCAACCTAAACCTTTTCAGAGCAATATTAGAAAAAAAAGGGGCATATATGTTTTAATTTGTGAGCAATAGTGTCCAGAGCTCCCTGTTGACATGCGGTAGTGTCGCCTGTTCTGAGCTGCGTGTTCTTCAGGCTTTGGTTTCATTTTGGCCAGATGTCTTACGAATGAAAAAACCCACCCTGCTGGTGGTTGTCTCACGCGTAGGACATCTTTCTCCTCAGCAGGCTCAACTGTGTGTCTGCTGTGATGTAGAAAATCCGATTCCAGATGGCATTTTGTGGAAGCAGGGACAGATCAGCTGATATATTCTGTCCCCACTGGGTCCTCTGTCACGAAATGCAGGTCAGACTGGGCAGATGGGCAGGTGATTAGATGCCCTTCTTAATAGGATCCCATTTATTTAAAGCTTTCTGCGAGAGGGGAAACTGCTGAGTGCAGAGGTGGAGGTCTCTGGGAGAAGGAAATGCTGCTCTGACAAGTTCTTTGCGAGGTGCTCCCTTAAAATCCTTCCAGAAACTCACTTTGTTTCTTCTTTGCAGAAAAATGGCAGTCGACTTCTTCTCACATGAGAAGATCTGGTTTGACAAATACAAGTATGATGAGGCTGAGAGAAGATACTACGAGCAGATGAACGGGCCGGTTAGCAGTTCTTCACAGCAACAGGTAACGTTGGTTTTCAAGTGTGGCTGGTTTAGCCGTGTGCTGCAGCTTAATGAGCTAGTACAGAGAGGAGGCAAAAGCAGGACAAGTCTACGTAGACATGTATTTCTTTATTATTTCCACTTTGGATGCTGTTTTTTCCAAGTTCTAGAGTCTTTTCTTGGGGCTTTCCAAGTCTTCCCTCCCTCCTTCCCCATCAGTGATGCCATGGTTTGTCTTTTGGGTTATCATCCTCTGTGGACCATGAAGAATTACTCTAGGACAAACAGTGGAAGAGTTAAAGGGTTGGTGATGGGAGATCGGGTGCCTCTGAGATGTGGCAGAGAGAGAACCAGAGAAACAACAGGTGAACCAGTGTACGACAGCAGTGTACGATTAATCGGGCTGCTCTGACAGGGTGTGGATGCTGTTTGGGATCCCGTTTGGGTGTCGTTTCTGATGCATGCCCTGAGAGCTGTGATTTTTATTGATGGGGTGACGATGTGGTAGACCAAGAGTTGACTTGGAGCCATTCGAACAGGGGCAATGCTGTTTTGCTCAGGATTTAGAGCAGTTAAGCTTTCCTCAGCAAGGAATATGCTGGACATCAAATGCTTGTGCAGGGGTACCATGACTCTGAAGAAATGAGGAATTTTGCTCCTCTATGTACCCCATGCAACATGAAGTGTGCTTTTGTGGAAGATCCTGCATCCCAGTACTGAGTGTGTAGGGGCTTGTTGCTCATGTAAGCAGCTTCTAACCATGTTCTGCTCTATTCCTGATGTACGTGGTAGTGGCAGTACAGCACCTAGGGCGCTTGCATAAAAGTTAAGTACTTGAAGTAGATGCTAAAAAGCAAATCTCTACAATGTTCTTAGAATTGTTAGACTCTTTCATGCCATGTAAGAAGCTTTCAATGAAAATTCTGCATGTGAGCATTGGTGTGAAGATTCTGTTGGAGGTCCTGCATGAATTTGTCACTCAAATGCTAAGAAAAAAAAAATCTGCATTCCATAAAACCTGTCTCCAACCTGGAAGTGGACAACCTGAATGTATCCAGGTCGCTGCTCTTCAGTGAGCTGTATGACATGGACTTTGGGGCTTCTGCCTAATTTCCAGGGGATGGTTTCATTTCTTGGATCTCGTTTTGGGGATTTCAGTCTGGGAGGGGTGTTTGGAGCTTGGAAACTGAATTCCTGCCCTAGGGAGGGAATACTCCAAGTCCAGGCTGAGACAGCAGTGGGAGCCTGTGGAATAAAATACGTGGACTGCTGTGCCCCGAGTTGCACCTTCTTGGAGACTTCAATTATCAGGGCTGTCATTTTTTTACCTGAATAAAATTAGAGTTTATATTAGGCAAAAACAAAAGGGCTGCAATGATTCCGATGCACTCTCTCATGGCAATTGTCCAGACCATTTGGGATAGGAAAAAAGAGAGAATCTAAAAAGCTCTTGACTAAATTATCTTGTGGACACATGGTCTGATGTGACCAAGGATTGCAATCCATGCTGTTCATCTTAGAACCAAGCCTTCTTGCAGCTAATTTTGCAGTACTCATTGAATCACTTGAGAAAATAAATAAATAAACCCTCCAGAATTTCCCTTTTCTAACTTCCCTGACCAATTTCCCATGTTTCCTCTATATTTTTTTTTAAAAGTCTTGGTTCTTTCTGCACTGTTTGCAGGAGAACGGAGCCAGCACGATCCTCCGCGACATTGCCAGAGCCAGGGAGAATATCCAGAAATCGCTGGCCGGAGTGAGTACTGAAGCTCTCTCACCAGCTGGCTGCCCGCACTCATTTTTAGCTGTGGTGCATCTCACAGACCTTCACTGCAACCACGTCATAGATTTTGTGGCTTCTTATTTTTAAGTTAGAGGAGATGACCAAGGTGTGCAGTGCTGTGTACCACCAGCATAGCTCCATTCCGACCAAGAGCACCAGGGTGCATGCTGCTTGCCAGACTCTGGAGCCTTCTACAATAACTGGATTTGAGTTAAAAGTCCTCTGCTTTTTCTCCTGATGGAATTTGTTTCTACAGGTCTTTTAAAAGAAGTAACAAGTTACTGTTAAAATAACCTTGCTGAGTAGCAAAGTACTGAGCTGCCAGCATGGGTATGTTTGTCTCTTGGGGTACACTGAGCTGCCACCTTCTCTTTCCTATTTTGCTTTCAGTTAGGGTATGTGCAAAAAAATGGTATCTTCCATCTGCTGCATCTAGGGAATCGAGCTTGGCTACTAGCTTAAACACCAGACCGTCCCATAAAGGTTAAGTAAATGTCCTTTCTAGAGGTGTTTAGGTGCTGATAATGTAAATGCGTCATCAGAGAGCAACGTTAGGACTTTTTCAAGTAAGTGGGGGTTTATTGATTTTACAGGTGAGGAAAAAGCAGCCACAAAATGTGATCCACGTGCCTTGGTTTCTTATCTCAGCAGTGGGACTAGTACATACTTGCACTTGTGATCCATCAGAGGATCTCTCTCCTTTACCTGTAGTGATTTGGCCTCACAGCCCTGTCTTGGGATAGATAACACATTTCTAGATCCATATGCTAACAGAATTCGACTTTTCTTGACAGGAATATCTCATTCTTCCTTTCTTAACACAAGGATATATAGCTGGGGTGGATACAGTGGAATTAACTGCTTTTCCCGTGGTGGTCTCACTGTACAATAGAACTTGATGCTGCAAAAGCAATTTGGACATCTTTGCAATCACTGCAGCTGCTTGTGTGAGTGATCCAACATAGGGCAGAACTGGAAACTTGGAAATGAAGGCAAGAATAGCAGGATCAATTTGAAGAAAGGCTGATTGGAAAGGATTAGATTTGCCTTGGCTATTCTCAATGGTCCTGAATGCAGCTTAGAAACTGGAATGGGTGAGAGCTAGAACAGCTTAGTAATATTAAAAAATGAGGGAGAAAATATGCGGGTATAGTTTTCTAATGTTGCTTTCTGTTGTTTAGCATCTATTTTCCAGTCGAGCTTTCAGCAGAAATGATCAGCCCTTCTCTAAGATTTTGATCTTGGACTTAAGGCAAATCTGTGGGGAAATAAACCGCCATCCCACACAGATTTGGGCATTTTTTTTTTGTATGGAAAGTGTTAAAGGACTTTGAAATGACTGCTTTGAGTAGAGAGAGTTGTAGGATCAGAGCGAAATGGAGCCTCAGTTTCCTCCAAGACCTGCTTCCTCCAGGAACATAGGCTAGAGGTGGTGAGAAGGAGCAGGAAACCTGAATATACATTACCAGATTACTATATTTTAACCAAATTACAAGATTACCATAGGTTTTTCTGCTAATTTTGTTAGCAGCAATTCTCCTATTGAGCCTTCTTGTGAGGAAGGGTCAGCAGACTTGAGAATTTAATTGTGCCCTTGAGTCTGCACTGTTCTTAAGGGTGTTCTATAATAATTTAGCCAACCTATATCTGCTGTTCTGCTCCCAGAGTATTCAGCTGCTTGGTTAAGTAGAGCACAAGGTAGCCGTGACCTCTTCCTCCCCTTCCTTACTGTTTTGTAATCCTGTTTTACTACTCTAGCCTAACCCTGGCTTATGCAGTGTTTAAATACATTTAAACTTTGTGTTCATGTCTGAAAGCAAAATTTACTCTGCTGGATCTGCAGAATAATTCTGGGGCGTGTTTTTTTGTTTTCTGTCCAGAATTCTTTTCTCCCCCTAAACCTGCAGCATTGTTAGGACTTGAGGAGGAAGCTTGTGAGAAGTTGGCTCTTGTAAGATGGGGAGATGGCAGACCAGTGCTGTCTATGCAGTCCAGCCAAGGTCTGGTTTAGATGTGCTTCAGTGGGATAGTGGTGTTTGGAAATCCGTGCTGGGGTGTTAGGATTGTTGAAGTCATGATTTGTATCTCCGAAGGGAGAATACAAACCTCTCCAATGCCAGAAACATTTGTTTGCACATACCTTCCATTCTGCTTTGCATGGTCATCTCTGCTTTGAACGATCACTCCCCTTTACATGTCTACTAGGTTGCTAATGCTTCCCTACCTATGGAGTTTTTAACTTCTGTTGTGCTGCAGCTGGTGGAGTTGAGACCACGTGTGGTGAGAGATGGCCCAGATGGGGAGCAGAGGCTTGGAAAGGATTGATCGACTTGCCCAAAATCATTGAGCAAGTCCAACAGAGCTGGCAACTCAATTTTATTTCCCTCAAACCTTGTCCAAGGCTGCAAAAAAATGGCACCAAGTAGACCATTGGTGTAGGAGTCTGAAACTTGTTCCCTGCTCTGCTCTATCTCCTTCTGTTAGTAAAACACCCCAAAAAGCCAAGTGTGTGGCTCTGATTCTGCAAAAGTATTTGGAGGCCATGTCCAGAAACATGTCTGCGTGCAGGTAACAGTCACAATTTCTGTAGGAAACGGGTCTGAATCCATCCTGTTGGTCTCGAGGGTGAAAACATCTTCCAGTACTTGAATGTTACCTCCCTGCAGGTCACTTAAGTGTGTTTGAGCATGGCAAAAACTCTCAGAACTCATGTTGACTTGAGTGGAGGGGTTTTGCGGCTGTGCAAGCATGAAATGGGGTTCATTTTTGTATGAAGCCATGAGTGCCCTACAAACTCTGTATTGGAGAACATGTACATTTCCATGTCTGTAACAGCGTGTTTCTTCTGAGCTTACATCAGGTTTTCTCCAATTTTAAAAAAGCCTTTAGGTGAGATTAGAGCCTAGGTTGTAATTTCTACCCTTCCTAAGCATAAAAAAAGATGTCCCAGGGACTTATTTTGCCTGTCTGATTGAACTTGAGTGTAATCCTTGGTATGGTGTGAGGCAGTGCAGGATGTAACTGAAGTGAAGCTCCCAACTTGGGTATTTTGAATGACTGTGCTTGATAAAATTTGCAAACATCCGAATTGGACTTCCCATGTGGGACTCCCTCTTGGCACAGAAGCAGCAACTCTTGCACGTGGCAAAGAGCAGATGGGAGGTCATGTACAGTTTATGGTGGTGACCATATCTCTGCAAGTTTAAAAAATAACCCTCCCTTTTAAATAGATATGGAAAAAATGCACAGGGGAGCAAGCAAATTGGAGTTTAGTAGTATAAGAAATAGGAAACCTCTATTAATGCAGTGGTGTAGGTATCGCAGCTCCTTGCGTGCTTGGGTTACCTGCCTTATCACATGCTGATGGGAAGGTGCTTAAATGTTCCCCTGAGAAAGGTGACTCTCTGGGCCCTGTTATCAGTATTTGTAACCTCACCCACCTAACAGCTCTGGATAAGGTGACAAGGGAGTCATTTATTTGAGCACTGCAGAGCTCTGCAGTTGCCTTGTGCAATTCCCCATGTTTCATACACTATACAAGTAGCAACTGATGAAATATATGGTAGTTTTTTTTACTCTAGCATTTTATACCTTTGAAAAATAGCCTGTTGTAGGAGCAAAATGTTATTTCTACATCTTTCCTTGTTTGGAATAGCTTCATGTAGTACAGAGTCTTTCTGAGGCCTCTTGTCTCAGTATCGCAAGCCACACCAGCATCTTTTCTGGAAGAAATCAGATATTTCCTTCTTCAAACCTGTCCTCTAAATGACACTGCTGTGCAAAACTGGCAAGTGCATTTGGAGCTAGAGGATCCTGCCAAGCTGTGGATTTTCTTGATGCAGGATGGCGGGGAGGAGCCCGCAGGTGCTGACTGGCAGGTACCAGCATGGACAGTGTTGGCTCAGCTGAGATTTTGGCATCCTTGAGGCGCTTGGTTAGTGACCATGAAGCTGGGTGAGACTCCAGATGACTTCTTGAATATTATTGACAGGGAAGGGAGGTTTGGAGGGAAAACTGAGCTCTGCAGCAAGAAGTTCAAGTCTGTGTTTAAAATCCGGGTGTTCTGCAGCCCCAAATTGGCCTGAGCTTGTGTTGCAGCTTCTCTAATGTCAGCAACTGGGTGCAAACTAGCCAGAATTGCTAGGACAAATGTGGAGCCCATTGAAATGCTTCCGTGTTTATCTTGAAAGTGTCACTAGGGCTTCAGACTGCCATGGGCAGATAATATTTTACCAAAGTTTAAGTCATGGTGTGTAAGGCTGGGAACAGCCTGATGTGACGGGTCTGGCATCAAGTTGCTCAGTGCAGGCTGGTTGTTGCTCTGTTTCTCCCTGGGAGAGACACTTCGGTGGACAAGTTAAGGGTCTTGGGAGCTTTGCATGTGTTTGTGTCCATAGTGCAGTGAATGTTTTAGCTCCTGACGGGAGAACTAGCTGAGACCCACTGTGTGCACTGCGGTAACACACGCATCTCTTGCACCTCTCACTTCATAGGCAGCAAAATGGCCAGGACCGGATTCTAGGCAGCTTTGGTTTTACCCTTCAGCTGCTTGACCCTTCAGCAAGCACTGAGACCTGTAACGACAAGATGGCAAAGCTCGTGGATGGCTTTTCCTGCAAACTTTGTTCGGAGTGTAGCTGGTGTGGGAGCTGTTTCTTGTTGAGTGCTGGTTTTCCTGCATGCCTGTGCTCGAGTGCCTCTTTCAGCATGAGTTGAGGTGCTTTTTTCTTTCACATTGAACCAAACACATCCTCCCCAAAAAACCCTTTTGCCCTTTCCAGCAGAAGACAGGTCCGCATAGCAAAGAAGCTCCCTCTGCCCGTCACAAGAGGCAGTCAGGCCGCCCAACTGTAAGTCACCCGCACGCGGATGGAGCTGCTTGTGTTGTCGATGAGGATGCTGGACGGCAGCCCTACACCTCGTACTGTGGGAGGCACTTGCTGTTTGGGATGGAGTCCTAGCTCATGCTGTGGAGGGGGGCTCGGGAAGCAAGTCTGGGGACAGCAGATCAGCACTTGTATTACTGAGCCTCTACCCACTGCTGAGACTGGTTTTCTGGGGATGTTTCCTTTTGGCATCTGCTCCTTTTTGGGTAGGTAAAGGAGCATCTCTGACCTTCCTTCCAGAAGCAGCACGTGCTGCTTCCCTGCGTCCCGTAAACCCTGCTCCCAGAGTTGTCTCTCCCAGGATCAGCTTTCTGCATGCTCCATGTTTGCAATCTCCATCTCAAGTGATTGCCAAGAGACAAGGAACATGTCAGCCATAACCGAGGATCACATTAATGATGTGCCTTTGGAAGAGCATAAATTATCTCTGTTGTTGTATTCAGTAATACTGACACTTGAAGGCCTGTATTTTTTTCTTCTCCTTTTGCAGATTTGACTTATAGACAAGGGCCTCCTTAAAGGAATGAAAGCACTTTTTGCTGTTAAAACAAATCCTTTTGGAGCTCGATTGGCCTTGTTATCCCTCTCAAGCATGTATTAAAATAGGCTTCAGGTTCTTTTCAGAGGAATTAAAGGCTGGAGTGGGGAAGATAGTAGTAAAAATCCAGGCATCTCTTTTCTAGCTTTCACAGTGACTTATGTGACATTAGGCAGGTCATTTCTGTGCTGCAGTTTGTGAGAAGAGACCAGCTGCTTCATTGCAGAGGCTTGGTGTGCAGCTTTTCAAACCTTTTGCATGTTTAGCGGTAGTTCATGATCTGTGGCTGCAAAGAATGACTTCATCTTGCACTCCTCATTGCCAACTGAGATCCATAAGATGTGTTTCATGCTTCATTATATAGCTCTGGTGTATTCTTTTTCAAGGCTGTGGATGAAATAACCTTGTTCTTTGGTAGCTTTAAAAATCTCTTCCTCCCCAAAGGCTTGTCTGTAATTCGCTTCACTGAGCTGTTGAGCTTGGGAGTTGGTTTGTTTCATCTGAGTTTTCCCCGTTGCAGAGTGCAAGCGCAACCTCTTCTGGGCCTCCTGGTGATCAAAATGACCTCGTTTCCCGAATCTCTCACCTGGAGGTAGAAAACCAAAACCTTCGCAGTGGTAAGTGGGGAGAGTCTTCTGCCATGAAATCATATTTGGTGGGTCCAGCTCCTGTGGAGCATCCACCATGTACTGACCTTACCTGTGGCCAGGCAAGCACATGCCAGTGTTTTGATCAGAGCTTTGCAGTCTTTTCCTCTGACTGGGATGGCTGATGTTTGCAAACCTGCTTGGGGCAAAAGTTCTCAAGGTCTGACCTGAGAACTGATGCCGGAGCCTACAAGATAAGTTTCCCTTTCCCCTGTCCCTTCTTGCAGTTGTTGCAGATCTTCAGCTGGCCATCTCCAAGTTGGAAAGCCGCCTGAATACTCTGGAAAAATCATCTACCTCCCATCAGCCTGCATCGATTCCACCCACCCAGGTGAGCCTGAGCAGAGCGTTTTTGAGTCCTGCATCATAACGAAGTCCCAGGTTGCTTCGGAAGTCTCCTCGCTTTAGTATGTAGCTGTATATGTGTGTGTCCCCAAAACAGTATGTATTTATATTTGTTCCTATATATTTGTTTGATTTGCATAAGTTCCCAAGTGTTGCTCTGATTTAACTGCAGATTAATTTTCTTTCCCACTTGAATGCATGTCACTCCCATGAAGAAAGTGGAACCATTCAGTGTTCCCTCCAAGAAAGTGGAGCTCCCATCTGCTTCAATTGCGAAGAAAGTTGAGTCGACTGCTGCAGAGGATGATGAGGATGACGACATTGACCTTTTCGGTAGCGATGATGAAGAGGAAGACCAAGAGGCTGCCAAAGTCCGGGAAGAGAGACTGCGTCAGTACGCAGAGAAAAAGGCAAAGAAGCCAGGTCTAATTGCCAAGTCTTCTATACTTCTGGATGTTAAACCAGTGAGTAATCTAAAACAGGGGGAGTTTGAGTGAGGCTTCATGTCTTATGCCGCAGCAGGCTGCAAATCACTTGCAGACCTAAGTTATCTGGTGAAGTCAATGTAACTTGCAGATTTTCAAGCAAGGTTTGGAGTTGGGTGGGATATCACAGTTGGGACCCATGGTGTTTGTCCTGATGCTGCCTCCCCTGAACCATGGCAAATGCAGGCTGTTACCTGACTGGTTCCCCTGGCCGGGAGTAGCCCTTTCTTTTGAAGAAAAGTCATTCATCAGTTGAAGCAAAAACCGACTAACATGCCCTGAAGGTGGGATTTGCTCTGCCCAAAAGAGAAATGTCCTTGGTAATGATAAAAATATTTGCATTTGTTTTAAAACAAGTGCTCCAAAGTAGACGTGCTTCTCCAGGAAGAATTCCCTTTGAATATGATGGGTTTGCAGGTAGAATTGAGATACTACATAGCATTGCTGCAAAGTCATATTTAGCTTGGCTGACTCCATCAGCTAATTAATTGTCTGGTGAGAATGGCAGCCAAGAAAAGGCAGCTGGAATTAGCTGAAATGCGATGTTGAATTTTAGCTGCTAGTCAAACTAGAGACATGGGCATGTGTTACATGTGTGAAAGTGCATTGATTAGCTCAGGTTAGCCTGTCTGATTTTGGGGTGCACCTTAATGTGTATGATATCAAATGAATAATATTGTCCACCTCCATTCTGTTTGCTGTGTACGCAGTAGTCTTGAGTTGTTGGACACTTCTTGGGGCTAATGCTGATGTCTGGGAAAAGACCCAAGTTCTTATTTCTTGCCTTTGCAGTGGGACGATGAGACTGACATGGCAAAGATGGAGGAGTGCGTCCGATCCATCCACATGGATGGGCTCGTGTGGGGAGCCTCCAAGCTGGTCCCAGTAGGCTATGGCATCAAGAAGCTCCAGATCCAGTGTGTAGTGGAAGATGACAAAGTTGGGACAGACATCCTGGAGGAGGAGATCACCAAGTTTGAAGACTATGTAAGTCTGCAGCTCTTTAATCATGCCATGTTTTCATTTGAAATGCTGCAAAAGTGTCAGTTGGGGTTATTCTTTCTTCTGTGAGAGGAGAGGAGATAGAGATAGACCCCAAAATCGAAGCAGCCTGTGTGCTAAGTGGACACATCTTGTAACAGTTGCATCGTGTGGAACAAGTCAGGTTGTTTTAATCTGTATCCTTTGTAGGTTGAACTCTAAAGTCATTCAGCAGCTAGCACACCGCAGAGTTTCCCGTTGTGACTGGGGTCACAGCAGTCCAGAAGAGTACCTAAAAAGCTGCTAAACCACCTAAAAAGGGACTCTTAGAGCAGGCAAACTGACCTAAGAGAAATGGGCTGTGCTTGATTTTTAAGTAGATGTGTGTGTGCTGTCAATAAAAGCCTGGCCCCATGTGTGCTTGATGAATGTTTGAGAAGCCCTTGGTGATCTCCAGCTGCTGTTCTTTTTCTGTTTCAGGTGCAGAGCGTTGACATTGCTGCTTTCAACAAGATCTAGAAGCCAACCTATAACCTCTCTTGGAGCGTAATAAATAAATCTCAAGATTGGGAGTGCACATTGTATGATGTCTTTCTTTACAGAGTGTAATTTAGCCAGTGTGTGATGTATTGTGAACTACTTGGGCCACTTTCGGGTATTTCTCCTCCTTTCCCCTCGTCATTAAAGCTAATGGCATTTTTGGCTTGGTGTTGCATATGCATGAGCAGCCTGTGCTAAGGGTTTGTGCACTAATTGCCCTCAGGGTAGGTCCTTTTTTGGCACGTAGAGCTGAATTTCCTCCCTTGTTTTCTTTTGCTGCTGTTGCTGTCCTGTGCAGGATACTTCTGTGGATCATTCTGTGCTTTAGGAATGAGGAGACCAGCTAGGGCAGGGCCAGCAAAAGGAGAGACTTCCACACTGTAGGCACAAATGGCACATAGCAGTGCCGCAGAGTCCAAAGGTTTGCGTGTGAGCTGCAAAGTGCAAACATTGGCCAGCACAAACAGCGAGTGCCACAGTGTTGCGCTACAAGCACAGGGCCAAAGCCTGAGCCACAAGGAAGCAGCGAGGAACCCAGTGACATCTCTTGTGTTGGTTTTCCTTGCTGTGTGCTGTGTCTGTGCTCTGTGTTCTCTTGTGTTGTAGTGGTTTTCCTTGCTGTGCGCTGTGTCCATGCTCTGCCTTCTGCCCTACTGGCATGAGCAGGGGTCCTCATGCAGTGTTGGGAGGGCCGGGGTGGGTGGGCATAGTGTGTCGCAGAGGCAAAGGCCTGTGTCCTTGTGGAG